CACAACAGAATGTGTCCATATTACTCTTTATAACAATCATTGTCTGGTGAAAATTTGTTCTTCAGTTTAAATCTTTTGGTAGCTAAGGATTATTCTATACATCATACTCAGGATATAATGTGAAATTCAAAACAAAAGTTATACATACTCAAAGAACAAACTTTATGTTAAAATAAGTCAATAAAGAAATAAATAACTGTAATTTTTACTATAGTCTAAATGCATATGTCTACAAACTTAAATCAAGACATTTCGTGATGCTGACTATTGTTTCTGAAACCTATTTTCAATCAGATTGAGAAAAAACCCCAACTTCTTAACCATTCCTGTTTGTCTGCTTCTTCCCCCTTATTTCAAATTTAGTCATATTTCTTATATATAATACATGTATTCCATATTACTCACAGGCATCAATAGCAGGTAATATTTTTGTCACATGAAGACATCATTCTATTTCAGGTGGGGTGAATCAAATGTAACCTTTGAAATTCATGATACTAAGGAGACAATCAAGGTCCCATTGACCTCTTGTTTAAATTTGAATCACTTTTGTAGTGTTTTATATGATTAACCAAATAACTAGCGTTTATATAACAGACTCATATAATCTTGTAAATTATTAACCATTTAGCAGTCAAAAGACCAAGGCATGTGTGGCTTCAAGAGGAGGATGAGGCAATACGGAACTTTTTCAAATGTGACATAAATGATGTTTCCAATTTAGGAAACAAAGGAAAACTACAAGGTATTTTTTAGCTCATTTCCTTGAGGTCCATGCAGTTAACTTCACTCTGTATTCTGACATTTGATTCAACTTTCTTTTTTTTCAATTTTAAAAGATATGGAGCACCAATTCACAAGTAATTATTATAGCTATGCCTGAACCAAACTAGCATGGATAAATGGATCTGTGGATAAATGAATCCTACAAGTTACTATATTTTGTAGATGAATGACCATATGTAAGTTTTTGGTTTTAGTCCATTCACAAGTAACCTGGACTAAACTTTCATGGATGTTGTATAGGGTTTGGGTCTATCTTGTTGAGAAAATAAAGATAAGCTTGGAATTTTTTTTATGCACATTTTGGAATATCAGCCTTATCCTAATTTACCATAAAAGGCACTGTCACGATGACTGTAAAGGTTTTCATAATCAATATAGTACCAGGTATTTAAACATTGGTGCATTTACCTGATGTGTTTATGCATCACTAATTTTCAAAGCTGGAGAAATGTAGCTCTCTGGTTGAGAAAATTTGGAACCAGAGAGCTACAGATTTAGTTTATTTTCTTTATAGTGACTAAGAAAATACATACATTCATATCTGAATACCCAGTGGTTTTGAAAGACTATGACTATAAAGAAAAAGTAAAAAAGATTCGTACTAAAGTGATAAATCTCAGAAGGCAGAACAGGCAGAGATACTACAAGTACATGAAGGAGTTACAACATAATTAAAAGAAGAGTATAATTCCCCAACATCTCTATTGATCTTCATCAAAAAGGTAAGAAAAACAAAAACTACATGTCACTTTAATTTTCACTGTTTGTAAATGAAGAGCTTCAAGTTCAGAGGTAAAGTGTATGTTTATCATTTGTTTGTTGACCTCTACATCTGTATGTAAAAAAAATTCAGAAACACTACTGTAAATCTGGAAATTTTGGCATCAATTTACTTTCATTAATTTTAAGTTTTACGACTCCAAATTTTGTGAATTCACACCGTTGCTATTGATCAAAATGTAGGGAAATAAATTAAAAAAATTAAGTTAAACCTATTTTCTATCAATCATGCTCAAGCTTTTGCTTTCCAAAACAGAACCAAATGCAACAGCCTCTTCAACCATTGTTGTGTGAAAATGAGTCCTAGTGGTTTAGCAGTGTCACCATTAAAAACTGGAATACTTGAGAAAGAAGGCCCTTTGCGACAGAGCGTGGAACTTATGCCAACCCACAATCTGGAGGCTTTGAGGTCATTTGAACGACACATCATTTCCCGCAGTAAAATCTCTTTACTATTGGTTATGTGAAAAAGTTCGACAGTTTATTGATAGGATGTGTAAGTTTGCAATGCGTGTTAACATGTATGTTGAAATTTTTTTTAGACCCATGAAATGATGTACTGCTGCTGCTGTCAGTGAATACTTGTTGAAAGCTCCTGCTTGAGTAAGAAGGCCCTTTGCGACAGAGCGTGGAACTTACGCCAACCCACAATCTGGAGGCTTTGAGGTCATTTGAACGACACATCATTTCCCGCAGTAAGATCTTCTTACTCTTGGTTATGTTAAAAGTTTGACTGTTTATGGGTAGGATGTGCAACTTTGTAAAGCAAGTTAAAATGAATGTTGAATTTTTTTTTATTCAGACCCATGAAATGATGTACTACTGTTGCCGTCAGTGAATACTTGTTGAAAGCTCCTGCCTGAGAAAGAAGGCCCTTTGCGACAGAGCGTGGAACTTACGCCAACCCACAATCTGGAGGCTTTGAGGTCATTTGAACGACATATCATTTCCCGCAGTAAGATTTCTTTAGTCTTGGTTTTGTGAAAAAGTTTGACTGTTTATTGATAGTTTGTGTAAGTTAGTAATGCATATTAAAATATATGTTGAATTATTTTTCAGACCCATGAAATGATGTACTGCTGCTGCTGTCAGTGAATACTTGTTGAAAGCTCCTGCTTGAGAAAGAAGGCCCTTTGCGACAGAGCGTGGAACTTACGCCAACCCACAATCTGGAGGCTTTGAGGTCATTTGAACGACACATCATTTCCCGCAGTGAGATCTTCTTACTCTTGGTTATGTTAAAAGTTTGACTGTTTATTGGTAGGATGTGCAACTTTGTAATGCATGTTAAAATGAATGTTAAATTTTTTTTATTCAGACCCATGAAATGATGTACTGCTGTTGCTGTCAGTGAATACTTGTTGAAAGCTCCTGCCTGAGAAAGAAGGCCCTTTGCGACAGAGCGTGGAACTTACGCCAACCCACAATCTGGAGGCTTTGAGGTCATTTGAACGACACATCATTTCCCACAGTAAGATTTCTTTAGTCTTGGTTTTGTGAAAAAGTTTGACTGTTTATTGATAGTATGTGTAAGTTTGTAATGCATGTTAAAATATATGTTGAATTATTTTTCAGACCCATGAAATGATGTACTGCTGCTGCTGTCAGTGAATACTTGTTGAAAGCTCCTGCTTGAGAAAGAAGGCCCTTTGCGACAGAGCGTGGAACTTACGCCAACCCACAATCTGGAGGCTTTGAGGTCATTTGAACGACACATCATTTCCCGCAGTGAGATCTTCTTACTCTTGGTTATGTTAAAAGTTTGACTGTTTATGGGTAGGATGTGCAACTTTGTAATGCATGTTAAAATGAATGTTAAAGTTTTTTTATTCAGACCCATGAAATGATGTACTGCTGTTGCTGTCAGTGAATACTTGTTGAAAGCTCCTGCTTGAGTAAGAAGGCCCTTTGCGACAGAGCGTGGAACTTACGCCAACCCACAATCTGGAGGCTTTGAGGTCATTTGAACGACACATCATTTCCCGCAGTAAGATTTCTTTAGTCTTGGTTTTGTGAAAAAGTTTGACTGTTTATTGATAGTATGTGTAAGTTTGTAATGCATGTTAAAATGAATGTTAAATTTTTTTTATTCAGACACATGAAATGATGTACTGCTGTTGCTGTCAGTGAATACTTGTTGAAAGCTCCTGCCTAAAAAGAAGGCCCTTTGCGACAGAGCGTGGAACTTACGCCAACCCACAATCTGGAGGCTTTGAGGTCATTTGAACGACACATCATTTCCCACAGTAAGATTTCTTTAGTCTTGGTTTTGTGAAAAAGTTTGACTGTTTATTGATAGTATGTGTAAGTTAGTAATGCATGTTAAAATATATGTTGAATTATTTTTCAGACCCATGAAATGATGTACTGCTGCTGCTGTCAGTGAATACTTGTTGAAAGCTCCTGCTTGAGTAAGAAGGCCCTTTGCGACAGAGCGTGGAACTTACGCCAACCCACAATCTGGAGGCTTTGAGGTCATTTGAACGACACATCATTTCCCGCAGTAAGATCTTCTTACTCTTGGTTATGTTAAAAGTTGACTGTTTATTGGTAGGATGTGCAACTTTGTAATGCATGTTAAAATGAATGTTGAATTTTTTTTATTCAGACCCATGAAATGATGTACTGCTGCTGCTGTCAGTGAATACTTGTTGAAAGCTCCTGCTTGAGTAAGAAGGCCCTTTGCGACAGAGCGTGGAAACTACGCCAACCCACAATCTGGAGGCTTTGAGGTCATTTGAACGACACATCATTTCCCGCAGTAAGATCTTCTTACTCTTGGTTATGTTAAAAGTTTGACTGTTTATTGGTAGGATGTGTAAGTTTGTAATGCATGTTAAAATGTATGTTGAATTATTTTTCAGACCCATGAAATGATGTACTGCTGTTGCTGTCAGTGAATACTTGTTGAAAGCTCCTGCCTGAGAAAGAAGGCCCTTTGCGACAGAGCGTGGAACTTACGCCAACCCACAATCTGGAGGCTTTGAGGTCATTTGAACGACACATCATTTCCCGCAGTAAGATTTCTTTAGTCTTGGTTTTGTGAAAAAGTTTGACTGTTTATTGATAGTATGTGTAAGTTTGTAATGCATGTTAAAATATATGTTGAATTATTTTTCAGACCCATGAAATGATGTACTGCTGCTGCTGTCAGTGAATACTTGTTGAAAGCTCCTGCCTGAGAAAGAAGGCCCTTTGCGACAGAGCGTGGAACTTACGCCAACCCACAATCTGGAGGCTTTGAGGTCATTTGAACGACACATCATTTCCCGCAGTAAGATTTCTTTAGTCTTGGTTTTGTGAAAATGTTTGACTGTTTATTGGTAGGATGTGTAAGTTTGTAATGCATGTAAAAATGTATGTTGAATTATTTTTCAGACCCATGAAATGATGTACTGCTGCTGCTGTCAGTGAATGCTTGTTGAAAGCTCCTGCCTGAGAAAGAAGGCCCTTTGCGACAGAGCGTGGAACTTACGCCAACCCACAATCTGGAGGCTTTGAGGTCATTTGAACGACACATCATTTCCCGCAGTAAGATCTTCTTACTCTTGGTTATGTTAAAAGTTGACTGTTTATTGGTAGGATGTGCAACTTTGTAATGCATGTTAAAATGAATGTTGAATTTTTTTTATTCAGACCCATGAAATGATGTACTGCTGTTGCTGTCAGTGAATACTTGTTGAAAGCTCCTGCCTGAGAAAGAAGGCCCTTTGCGACAGAGCGTGGAACTTACGCCAACCCACAATCTGGAGGCTTTGAGGTCATTTGAACGACACATCATTTCCCGCAGTAAGATTTCTTTAGTCTTGGTTTTGTGAAAAAGTTTGACTGTTTATTGATAGTATGTGTAAGTTAGTAATGCATGTTAAAATATATGTTGAATTATTTTTCAGACCCATGAAATGATGTACTGCTGCTGCTGTCAGTGAATACTTGTTGAAAGCTCCTGCTTGAGAAAGAAGGCCCTTTGCGACAGAGCGTGGAAACTATGCCAACCCACAATCTGGAGGCTTTGAGGTCATTTGAACGACACATCATTTCCCGCAGTAAGATCTTCTTACTCTTGGTTATGTTAAAAGTTTGACTGTTTATGGGTAGGATGTGTAAGTTTGTAATGCATGTTAAAATGTATGTTGAATTATTTTTCAGACCCATGAAATGATGTACTGCTGTTGCTGTCAGTGAATACTTGTTGAAAGCTCCTGCCTGAGAAAGAAGGCCCTTTGCGACAGAGCGTGGAACTTACGCCAACCCACAATCTGGAGGCTTTGAGGTCATTTGAACGACACATCATTTCCCGCAGTAAGATTTCTTTAGTCTTGGTTTTGTGAAAAAGTTTGACTGTTTATTGATAGTATGTGTAAGTTTGTAATGCATGTTAAAATATATGTTGAATTATTTTTCAGACCCATGAAATGATGTACTGCTGCTGCTGTCAGTGAATACTTGTTGAAAGCTCCTGCTTGAGTAAGAAGGCCCTTTGCGACAGAGCGTGGAACTTACGCCAACCCACAATCTGGAGGCTTTGAGGTCATTTGAACGACACATCATTTCCCGCAGTAAGATTTCTTTAGTCTTGGTTTTGTGAAAAAGTTTGACTGTTTATTGATAGTATGTGTAAGTTTGTAATGCATGTTAAAATATATGTTGAATTATTTTTCAGACCCATGAAATGATGTACTGCTGCTGCTGTCAGTGAATACTTGTTGAAAGCTCCTGCTTGAGTAAGAAGGCCCTTTGCGACAGAGCGTGGAACTTACGCCAACCCACAATCTGGAGGCTTTGAGGTCATTTGAACGACACATCATTTCCCGCAGTAAGATCTTCTTACTCTTGGTTATGTTAAAAGTTTGACTGTTTATGGGTAGGATGTGCAACTTTGTAAAGCAAGTTAAAATGAATGTTGAATTTTTTTTTATTCAGACCCATGAAATGATGTACTACTGTTGCCGTCAGTGAATACTTGTTGAAAGCTCCTGCCTGAGAAAGAAGGCCCTTTGCGACAGAGCGTGGAACTTACGCCAACCCACAATCTGGAGGCTTTGAGGTCATTTGAACGACATATCATTTCCCGCAGTAAGATTTCTTTAGTCTTGGTTTTGTGAAAAAGTTTGACTGTTTATTGATAGTTTGTGTAAGTTAGTAATGCATATTAAAATATATGTTGAATTATTTTTCAGACCCATGAAATGATGTACTGCTGCTGCTGTCAGTGAATACTTGTTGAAAGCTCCTGCTTGAGAAAGAAGGCCCTTTGCGACAGAGCGTGGAACTTACGCCAACCCACAATCTGGAGGCTTTGAGGTCATTTGAACGACACATCATTTCCCGCAGTGAGATCTTCTTACTCTTGGTTATGTTAAAAGTTTGACTGTTTATTGGTAGGATGTGCAACTTTGTAATGCATGTTAAAATGAATGTTAAATTTTTTTTATTCAGACCCATGAAATGATGTACTGCTGTTGCTGTCAGTGAATACTTGTTGAAAGCTCCTGCCTGAGAAAGAAGGCCCTTTGCGACAGAGCGTGGAACTTACGCCAACCCACAATCTGGAGGCTTTGAGGTCATTTGAACGACACATCATTTCCCACAGTAAGATTTCTTTAGTCTTGGTTTTGTGAAAAAGTTTGACTGTTTATTGATAGTATGTGTAAGTTTGTAATGCATGTTAAAATATATGTTGAATTATTTTTCAGACCCATGAAATGATGTACTGCTGCTGCTGTCAGTGAATACTTGTTGAAAGCTCCTGCTTGAGAAAGAAGGCCCTTTGCGACAGAGCGTGGAACTTACGCCAACCCACAATCTGGAGGCTTTGAGGTCATTTGAACGACACATCATTTCCCGCAGTGAGATCTTCTTACTCTTGGTTATGTTAAAAGTTTGACTGTTTATGGGTAGGATGTGCAACTTTGTAATGCATGTTAAAATGAATGTTAAAGTTTTTTTATTCAGACCCATGAAATGATGTACTGCTGTTGCTGTCAGTGAATACTTGTTGAAAGCTCCTGCTTGAGTAAGAAGGCCCTTTGCGACAGAGCGTGGAACTTACGCCAACCCACAATCTGGAGGCTTTGAGGTCATTTGAACGACACATCATTTCCCGCAGTAAGATTTCTTTAGTCTTGGTTTTGTGAAAAAGTTTGACTGTTTATTGATAGTATGTGTAAGTTTGTAATGCATGTTAAAATGAATGTTAAATTTTTTTTATTCAGACACATGAAATGATGTACTGCTGTTGCTGTCAGTGAATACTTGTTGAAAGCTCCTGCCTAAAAAGAAGGCCCTTTGCGACAGAGCGTGGAACTTACGCCAACCCACAATCTGGAGGCTTTGAGGTCATTTGAACGACACATCATTTCCCACAGTAAGATTTCTTTAGTCTTGGTTTTGTGAAAAAGTTTGACTGTTTATTGATAGTATGTGTAAGTTAGTAATGCATGTTAAAATATATGTTGAATTATTTTTCAGACCCATGAAATGATGTACTGCTGCTGCTGTCAGTGAATACTTGTTGAAAGCTCCTGCTTGAGTAAGAAGGCCCTTTGCGACAGAGCGTGGAACTTACGCCAACCCACAATCTGGAGGCTTTGAGGTCATTTGAACGACACATCATTTCCCGCAGTAAGATCTTCTTACTCTTGGTTATGTTAAAAGTTGACTGTTTATTGGTAGGATGTGCAACTTTGTAATGCATGTTAAAATGAATGTTGAATTTTTTTTATTCAGACCCATGAAATGATGTACTGCTGCTGCTGTCAGTGAATACTTGTTGAAAGCTCCTGCTTGAGTAAGAAGGCCCTTTGCGACAGAGCGTGGAAACTACGCCAACCCACAATCTGGAGGCTTTGAGGTCATTTGAACGACACATCATTTCCCGCAGTAAGATCTTCTTACTCTTGGTTATGTTAAAAGTTTGACTGTTTATTGGTAGGATGTGTAAGTTTGTAATGCATGTTAAAATGTATGTTGAATTATTTTTCAGACCCATGAAATGATGTACTGCTGTTGCTGTCAGTGAATACTTGTTGAAAGCTCCTGCCTGAGAAAGAAGGCCCTTTGCGACAGAGCGTGGAACTTACGCCAACCCACAATCTGGAGGCTTTGAGGTCATTTGAACGACACATCATTTCCCGCAGTAAGATTTCTTTAGTCTTGGTTTTGTGAAAAAGTTTGACTGTTTATTGATAGTATGTGTAAGTTTGTAATGCATGTTAAAATATATGTTGAATTATTTTTCAGACCCATGAAATGATGTACTGCTGCTGCTGTCAGTGAATACTTGTTGAAAGCTCCTGCCTGAGAAAGAAGGCCCTTTGCGACAGAGCGTGGAACTTACGCCAACCCACAATCTGGAGGCTTTGAGGTCATTTGAACGACACATCATTTCCCGCAGTAAGATTTCTTTAGTCTTGGTTTTGTGAAAATGTTTGACTGTTTATTGGTAGGATGTGTAAGTTTGTAATGCATGTAAAAATGTATGTTGAATTATTTTTCAGACCCATGAAATGATGTACTGCTGCTGCTGTCAGTGAATGCTTGTTGAAAGCTCCTGCCTGAGAAAGAAGGCCCTTTGCGACAGAGCGTGGAACTTACGCCAACCCACAATCTGGAGGCTTTGAGGTCATTTGAACGACACATCATTTCCCGCAGTAAGATCTTCTTACTCTTGGTTATGTTAAAAGTTGACTGTTTATTGGTAGGATGTGCAACTTTGTAATGCATGTTAAAATGAATGTTGAATTTTTTTTATTCAGACCCATGAAATGATGTACTGCTGTTGCTGTCAGTGAATACTTGTTGAAAGCTCCTGCCTGAGAAAGAAGGCCCTTTGCGACAGAGCGTGGAACTTACGCCAACCCACAATCTGGAGGCTTTGAGGTCATTTGAACGACACATCATTTCCCGCAGTAAGATTTCTTTAGTCTTGGTTTTGTGAAAAAGTTTGACTGTTTATTGATAGTATGTGTAAGTTAGTAATGCATGTTAAAATATATGTTGAATTATTTTTCAGACCCATGAAATGATGTACTGCTGCTGCTGTCAGTGAATACTTGTTGAAAGCTCCTGCTTGAGAAAGAAGGCCCTTTGCGACAGAGCGTGGAAACTATGCCAACCCACAATCTGGAGGCTTTGAGGTCATTTGAACGACACATCATTTCCCGCAGTAAGATCTTCTTACTCTTGGTTATGTTAAAAGTTTGACTGTTTATGGGTAGGATGTGTAAGTTTGTAATGCATGTTAAAATGTATGTTGAATTATTTTTCAGACCCATGAAATGATGTACTGCTGTTGCTGTCAGTGAATACTTGTTGAAAGCTCCTGCCTGAGAAAGAAGGCCCTTTGCGACAGAGCGTGGAACTTACGCCAACCCACAATCTGGAGGCTTTGAGGTCATTTGAACGACACATCATTTCCCGCAGTAAGATTTCTTTAGTCTTGGTTTTGTGAAAAAGTTTGACTGTTTATTGATAGTATGTGTAAGTTTGTAATGCATGTTAAAATATATGTTGAATTATTTTTCAGACCCATGAAATGATGTACTGCTGCTGCTGTCAGTGAATACTTGTTGAAAGCTCCTGCCTGAGAAAGAAGGCCCTTTGCGACAGAGCGTGGAACTTACGCCAACCCACAATCTGGAGGCTTTGAGGTCATTTGAACGACACATCATTTCCCGCAGTAAGATTTCTTTAGTCTTGGTTTTGTGAAAATGTTTGACTGTTTATTGGTAGGATGTGTAAGTTTGTAATGCATGTAAAAATGTATGTTGAATTATTTTTCAGACCCATGAAATGATGTACTGCTGCTGCTGTCAGTGAATGCTTGTTGAAAGCTCCTGCCTGAGAAAGAAGGCCCTTTGCGACAGAGCGTGGAACTTACGCCAACCCACAATCTGGAGGCTTTGAGGTCATTTGAACGACACATCATTTCCCGCAGTAAGATCTTCTTACTCTTGGTTATGTTAAAAGTTGACTGTTTATTGGTAGGATGTGCAACTTTGTAATGCATGTTAAAATGAATGTTGAATTTTTTTTATTCAGACCCATGAAATGATGTACTGCTGTTGCTGTCAGTGAATACTTGTTGAAAGCTCCTGCCTGAGAAAGAAGGCCCTTTGCGACAGAGCGTGGAACTTACGCCAACCCACAATCTGGAGGCTTTGAGGTCATTTGAACGACACATCATTTCCCGCAGTAAGATTTCTTTAGTCTTGGTTTTGTGAAAAAGTTTGACTGTTTATTGATAGTATGTGTAAGTTAGTAATGCATGTTAAAATATATGTTGAATTATTTTT